GCTAGAAGCTTCATAAAAATAATAATTATAATATAGGACCATGCTATATATATGTATTTTTTTTATTTTTTTTTTTATTTTTTTGGAGAGAATAGTCTAGAATTTATCTAACACTTTCACTATTCACTATAAAAAAACATGTGTACATGTTAGATACTCATATTCTATATTTTTTGTAACATTTTATATATGTTGAAGTAGTATGCAACCCTAATTTATACATACCATTTGTTTTCTCTGTAACAATGAATTTTGCCTTAGCACTTGTGAGTGTATTCATATATAATGTACGGAAAAATGACAAATATATTTCTGAACTATCGTAAAAGGTATGCAGATATCTTTTGTCTTTTTTAAAAATAAAAATATAAAAAAACTTTGGTCTAAAGTTAAATATGAACAAACCATATGAACTCATGATGAAACAAAAAAAGGTTGTCGGTACGCTTTTCACATAATAGGAAGCAATAAAATTATAAAAGTTCTAATTTATGTGTAACAATCAACGATATGTCCAAAATGAAACATAATCATATAAATAAACTGGATTAAAATTTCTGTATTTGCAACACTATTTTCATATATATGTGTGACATACGCATACACATACATTATAGGGGAAAATGACAAATATACCCCTAAACTATTGTAAATAGTACGTAAATACCCTCCGTCATACTTTTGGGACATTGGTGCCCATGTCATCCAAAAACTAGAGCATATGTATGCCCTTCACTCTAACGGAAGACTAAATAGGGATACGTGGCACAATCTTATCCGTCGATTCGATATTTAATAAATATCGGATCGGTGGATAAGATTATGATACATGTATGTCCGTTAGTATAAAGGGTATATATGCTCTAGTTTTTGGACGGCAGGGGCACCAATGTCCCAAAAGTATGACGGAGGGTATTTACGTACTATTTACAATAGTTTAGGGGTATATTTGTCATTTTCCCCTATAATGTATGTGTATGCGTATGTCACACATATATATGAAAATAGTGTTGCAAATACAGAAATTTTAATCCAGTTTATTTATATGATTATGTTTCATTTTGGACATATCGTTGATTGTTACACATAAATTAGAACTTTTATAATTTTATTGCTTCCTATTATGTGAAAAGCGTACCGACAACCTTTTTTTGTTTCATCATGAGTTCATATGGTTTGTTCATATTTAACTTTAGACCAAAGTTTTTTTATATTTTTATTTTTAAAAAAGACAAGTCCACTTGACTACTCCAACACTGAAATGTAGGTAATACTTTTGGTTGTTTTTTGTCAATAATTTATATTTCATAAAATATAAATGAGTACAATACTTCATGTTGATCTAAGTTGAATACTGGTGCCTAATAATTGGGACACTATTTTGGGTAATTAACCTGACACTGTATTTTAATAAAAATAAATGATTGTGAAATAAATATAAGATTTACATATTTATAAATAGGGTAAGCCATTTGGAAGGAAATTCTTGCCGGTTGTCCTTTTTTGGGTCATCTATTTAGTACTCTTTCGGTCTCTTTTTACTTGTTAATTTTTGACTTGACACACCTATTAATAAAATATTAAGTGTTATAGTGAATTTACCATTTTACCCCTATTAATTGATGGAATCTCAAATATCTTACTCACTACATTTTTCAAAGACATTAACTTAATGGTAATAAATCGAGGGTATTAGAGAAAAAAATGTTCTTTCTTCATTTATCAGAAATAACAATAAAAAGGAAATATTGGACAAGTAAAAAGGAACAGAGTAGATATTTAGTAAAATTTATAATAAAAATGCTAAATCACAGTCTAAACTTTTGTAAGTTACTAAAAACGTTAAATAATAATTTAATTTTATGGGGATAAGGACATATATACCCCTGAACTATCGTAAATGGTATGCAGATAACCTCCGTCATACTTTTGGGACATTGGTGCCCCTGCCGTCCAAAAACTAGAGCATATATACCCTTCACTCTAATGGAAGACTAAATAGGGACACGTGACACAAACTTATTCATTGATTTGATATTTAACAAATGTCGGGTCGGTGGATAAGATTATGACACGTGTATGTCCGTTAGTATAAAGGATATATATGCTCTAGTTTTTGGACGACGGGGGCACCAGTGTCCCAAAAGTATGACGGAGAGTATCTGCATACCATATGCGATAGTTCAGAAATATGTAAAATTGTCCCTCCTAAAAAGATTATTCCAAAAAATGGGCAAGGAGATATATTTGTCCTTTTTCCCTAATTTTATTGGTAAAGTTAAACAATATATATATCAACAAACATTAGACTTGAATATATTATAAGTTCATAATATATGTTTCAGTGACTAAAAAATGATATTATTCCTTTTTTTAACATTAGCCACGGACAAAGCATATTGTATTCAATAGAAAACTAAATAAAAAATAAAGGTGAATGGCTTTACACCTTAATTTAATTGTTGAACAACAAGTTGCTATAATCAATTAAAGCATACAAAATCAAATGTTGTGTGTTTGTTGGACATAGAAGTATGGGGGGTTGGACTCCTAATCCCATAATAAATTAAGAAAATTTATCTCCTCTATAATAATATAAATTAATAACAATTTAAAAGATATGTCAAACATAATAAAATTTATTTACCTGATATCAAACTTAAGCAAATATTTTGAGTTTGAATCTTTCAATGTGATTTAGGACAAAAAGTTAGATCAATATGAAAGAGAATATGTCAAAGATCTAAAACTTGCAAGGAATAGCCATCCTAGAAAAAAAATATTTTGTTTGGTTTATTCTTTGACTACTTTATATTATAAAAATATAGATGATATCTCTGTAAGCATATATATGAGTTAATTTGAGTCTCATAGCCACTATAAAGGAAATATTTTGATATTTATAAGAAAAATCATATCGACACAGAGAGTATGTATTCGAGATACTAAAACTTGCGATGAATAATTATCTTAGGATAATTATATTCTTGTCAATTTTATTCAATCTTTAATAATTCTATGATTATAAATAAAAATGTACTCCATATACTTACCATTCAATCACGACCCTAATCAGGGGTCAAATCATTGGTTAAGGCAACAAATTGCCAAAAATTAAGCAAGGATGGCCCAAAGTTAAAGACTACAAAAGAAAGCCGTCCAGGGTGATGAGGCCAAGACAAATGTGGGATCCATTAGCCACTCTTCCCCATCCACTAGTTTCTTTTTCTTTAACAATAAATTTGATATATTTATATTAAAATCTGATTAGAGTTAATTTGTGTACTACATAATTCATTATTAGAGATAACGTTTCTAATAAAATTTATTTTATTTTCCAAATACACGAATCAAAGAATTTTAGTTAACAATGAAGGATTTCAATCATCTCTCCACAATCAATATTTTTATATTATATATAGTAGTTAAAATATTGTTACAATTACTTTAATTACTTCAACCTATATATAGTCTCTCTCATCATTACGTTTTTCTCTGTGTTAGCATTAATTAAAATCTGGTCAAAACTTTGATATCCTTAACCATGATTAGTAAATTAAAGTCTTGTACACCTCACATATAAATCAAACTATATTTAACCCTACCTATTTTAATTTAATCAACTATTATAAATGCATTAAATATATATTTTTCAATCTTATATATACAATATAATCTACCTAAAAAAAATTTGGGTTGATAAAACCTCCTCAGCCCCTACTAGTTCTGTTCCTATCGTCAAAAGTATCATAAATGGTCAAAATCTCTCAACTTTTAACCTAATATCTCATACTCGGACAAAAACTCTTCATTTTTTTTTATTATAGAAAGTGTTCTATACCCTCATCTATTAAAAGAATCTACATAACAGTTAGAGACAAAGATAAAGTACAACTTACGAATTTAGCGGAACTCAATAGCTTGTTCCAAATTCTATATTTATCTTAAAAAACTTACTGAATAAATTATTAATTCAAAACTAAGTAAGCTTTAAAAAAACTAAAATTCTGAAGCCAAAAAACTTTAGATTCTTACTTTACCTAAAGAAATATGAATATTTATTAAATCAGTGAGTTTCGAACTAAATTGTACAAACTCTTCAATTTTGATACCGTATTCATATTGGATTTTTTTTAAAAAATATATTATTTTCGAAGAATTCAAATATTACGGAATAGTTATTGCAAGTTGAGGAAAATTGTTCCTTCATTATCATGTATAATTTATTAATTAAATTAATACACTTGCAAAACATGAATGACATCTAATCCAACTTGCTCTAGTTTCCCAAATCTTGACTTTCATATAAATAATATATAATAAATATTTTCATTCATTTCACGCAACTATTATAGTAATTTTCAAATGTTTACCGTCATCAGCTACCAAATTCCTCCTTTTTTTAGTTTGTTATTATTCTGGTTTTTTTTTTTTTTTGGTAATTCTTTTGAGAATCTAGACATGCCAAAATAATCATGCAAACTTTATTTTAGATATCATTCCTTATTATTTATATATATCCGCGAAAAATTAGAAGAGTAGGAACAAAGTTATTAAGATCCAAACAACAACAACATATTTGGTATAAAAGTGGGGTCTGAAAAGAATTGATGCACATAAATTTTACTCCTATTTTTCTGAAGTAGAGAAGTTATTTCCAATAAATCTTTAGCTCAATAAAAAGTTTCAAAAATCCAAAAAAGACTAAAAGTTCATGAAATTCTTACACCAAAAGTCATAAGTTCAAAATTCTAAATTCGTCTCTTAGTTATAATTAAATTTGAAATCTAATATTATAAATTTCTCAACACATAAATGAGATTCAAGCCAAACTTATAGAATTACCAAACCTATAATTTACATTATGTATCCGCTATATAGAAGTTAAACTCAATTATTTTTCTTTTAATAAAAACCTACTACTATACACTATATATATATATATAGTAGTTGAATAAACAAATAATTTCTATCCTCCTATTATCTTATACTTATATAATATTTATAAACTTTAGGGTGTCTTTGTTCCCCTCTCTCTCCTTCTTCTTCCCTTCCCTTTCTTTCCACTCAAAAAAACAAATCTCCATAACAAGCTAAGCTCCTTTCTTGTTTTCTAAATCTTTTATTCAAATCTACACACCAAAAACTATAGAATATAATCCCATCTATTAAACAAAACCATAGAAAAAAAAACATATATATATATATATATCTAGTAGTTTTTAATAATTTTTACATTTGATATTTTTTTTAATTTATAGTTTTTTTGCCCCATATCTCTTGTGTTTTTTTTTGTACTTTTGAATGTTTTGGTCATGGCTGGTTTGGATTTAAGCACAACTACTCGTTATATTCATCAACTTCACCACCCGGCTGACTTCAATCTGCAAAGACAACCGGGTGATGAAGATAACAACAACCAATTTTCCGATGACCATCACCACGAGGATAATGGTCATCAGAATCAAGGTTAGAGAGAGTACACTTTTATTTACTTATTTTCTTTTATGACTTCAATCAACACGCCCTCCTAAGCGTGTTGGTTGATTCTTATTATCTTATATGAATCAAGTTTGGGCAATTTTTTTGTTAATAATAGGTGGTGATGACCGGTGAGACTTGAATCTTAGACCTTCTGTCTATTTTAATATCATGTTGAAATTATCTAATAGGTTATTTTATCTATAAATTTAAGCAATTAAAGAAAATATATTTTTATTTATTTAATTATATCTTTGATTAGTACACCCTCCCTTGCCTCCTATACTCACCTGATTCTTGTTCATGAACCAAGCACATAAAACTATTTATTTTTCTTTAGGCAATAATAGATGGTGTCTGATGGTGAGACTTGAACTCAAGACTTTTTATTTAGCCTAAAAAAATGCTAAATTATGTGACATGAAAATTTAAATGATTTGAGAGTGTCCACTTTTATTTGCTTAATTATATTTTACATCAACCTCTCACTTGGGGCACATTTGATATAAGTGATTCTTGAATCCAAGACTTTTTATTTGTTCTGATATCATATTGAATTATGTTGTTTAATAGGAGGTGATATCGTTGGCCGGAGACCTAGAGGGCGGCCAGCAGGGTCAAAAAACAAGCCAAAACCACCAGTAATAATCACTAGAGAAAGTGCAAACACACTGAGAGCACATATATTGGAGATTGGAAACGGATGTGATGTATTTGAATGTGTATCAACTTATGCTAGGAGAAGACAAAGAGGGATTTGTATACTAAGTGGTAGTGGGACAGTAACAAATGTTAGCATAAGACAACCTGCTGCTGCTGGTTCTGTAGTAACATTGCATGGAAGATTTGAGATTCTTTCCCTTTCTGGCTCATTCTTGCCTCCACCTGCTCCACCAGGTATGATTCTGTGTCATCATCTCATCTAAAGAATGTAATTTGTTCTAGTGGTGGAATCTAAGTTCAACGAAGGAGGTTCAATTGAATCCTCTATATATCCTCTTCGTTGAAATATTATACTGTAGTAATAGGGTGTCTTTGAGATGGAACTAAGTGCAATGAATGGGGTTTAGTAAAATTCACGATTTTATTTACTTAGTTATTTATGTCTTCAACAACCATTGTGAGCGTCTCACATACAAAAAATTAAGATGTTTGAGAAAGCAATTCGTTTTATTTACTTAATTATGACGTCAACAACGCTTCCTGACCACGATGCAATGAGTTGATCATTTTGTGTATACAATTTTACTTAATTATGTCTTCAACAGGTGCGACGAGTCTGACAATTTTTGTGGCTGGTGGACAAGGGCAAGTTGTTGGAGGAAGTGTGGTAGGGGAGTTGATTGCTTCTGGACCAGTTATTGTTATAGCTTCATCATTTACAAATGTTGCTTATGAGAGATTGCCATTAGAGGAAGATGAAGGAGGGGGAGGGCTTCAAATTCAACCACAAGTCTCTAATAGTGGTAATAATAATAATAATAATAATAACAATAATAGCCAATTTCCTCATGACCCTTCATCTGGATTTCCATTCTTTAATCTTCCTTTGAATATGCCTAATGGACAACTACCATTTGGAGTCTAATAGGTTACATATTCTTGAAGTTTAGAGTATAATCTGTATGCATCATGGCTTTCAATCACTTCATTTTTCGACTACTAATTCAGCTTCTTGAATTTGTGTACGTGCATCATGCATGGCATTCGAGAAGCTGAAGTTTCACAAGTTGTTGATATTGATGAAGAAATTAAAATTCTTAATGTTTGTCATAGTAATTGTTGGATTTTCTCCATTTCTTTTTTGGGGATTTCTTCTTCTTCTACTTCTTGGTTTTGTAACTCTATGGAATCCTTAAAGTAGTGATTATCTACTCTTAAATGTTCTTTATGGAACTCTTATCTATAAAGAAAGAATTGGTTTGTGAATGCAATATATAATATTCCTCAAATTAATTCACCTAATATATAGTTGTGCTTATCTTACTTATTATTTGATGTATGTTTCTTCTCAATGTTTTTCTATTTTCTCTATTGTAGATTATAAAAGGAAATTATTTGACTTTAGTCTAAGGAGATCTTGAATGGTAGACTTTTCCCTTTCTAGCATTTCTTCCAAGACTAGTAACCCCACCAACCCCCATTCTAATTTTTATATTTTTTCCTTTTTGAGAGTTAATTTTTAAAGCTTAATTGGATTATATACATCAATTTAATGATTTAATTATTCAAAAATTATATAAAAACAATATAATTATCCTTATGTCAGTATGATGAAAAGATACATTCTAAAATATTTGATCGATTTCAAAGTTAACATGATTAGAATATTGAGAAACAAAAAGTAAACGTAAATATATAAAGCTTAAATATTAAATTGTATGCTAATAAGGGTTTTACCATAGAGGGGTTGTTCTTGTTTGATGAAATAAAAAGTTCATGTGGTGGAGGTTCTATTAATAACATGTCTTACATTAATGTTTGGGCTGAATTTCTTGATTTTGCTACTATACTTTTTTGGGAATTTGATCCACCACACTGGTCAATTGCTGAAAACAATGCTTTTTTCTCTCTCTCAGCTAAATTGACCTTTAGAAAAATGGGAACACATGACTAGTTTTCAGTACTTGTCTTTCAAATATTTGTACCATCAATTATCAAATAATATCTGAAATAATATACTATGCAGTTTGATTCACAAAGTATTTGGCGTTAGTAATGTTAGAAGGATTGCATCTTAGGAGATGTGATGTAGATATCCTACTCTATACAAACATTAATGATTACTTTTGCGTTTCGAATCTAAAGCTTTAAATCAAACATATATAATTTTAATGTTGCTCCAAGACTTAACTTTATTTAAAATACACACTATTTTTGTTTTGTAGTCTTGTGTTCTCAAGTGCTCTCTATGCTTTTACTTGTATCCTCAATGATTATGATGAAACAGTAAATATTCATTCATTCTTAACTAAAGGTTTCAAGTTTGAGCCACGAGTTTGAAGCCATCTTTAATACTTTACCCCGAAAATGAGATTTTTTGACACAAATCCAAATTAGTCATGCCCAAAGATACCAGATGGGAAAAAAGAAATTACATGCTTTCACTTGAAGCCATTTTCTCAAGTTTTCTTGATGGAAAACATGAAATAGGATTTCAATTTTATATATCATCAGACATGAAGCATTGTTCTTGTACCCGCTCAAGGAGGTTATTTGACTAAGATCTAGAGTTGACGAGTTCAGAATTAACATACATAATTATATAATATAATACACACAGCCTTACTTGTTGCTGTTAAATACCTCAGTTCTTTTTATAGTATAATTACTATTATTAAACCAAATGATTCCATTTTGTCTACCATATTTTTTCCATTAAAGAAGATGCCCTCTTAAATAGTGAACTTTACGATTTCAAGTTGCTTTATTCTCCACTAATAGAGTTATTTAGATATATAAAGAATAACAGTTATTTGTGTATTAAAAAAAGAAAGAACAAAAGGATACTTTAAATATATTCCATATTAATTAATTATAGAATTTAAGTTATATGACGTGAGTGATGATGTATGTATTTGTGTTATACTATGACGCATGATATTGACATGATCGGTTGAACCATTGGCGTACTTTGGCAAGTGGTGTCACCTTTTAATGTACTCCTTATATATATTGAATAAATTTGCTTCTTTTGAGCCAAGTGTGTATGACAAACAAACTCTGTACTCTCCAGACTCCACTAATTAATGCGTTGTTGATTGACTGAATTGCTAATTTATTTGTTGTGAATTTTCAAGGCAAGAAGGGCTCTAAAAGGTGTAGTGAAATTGCAAGCTTTAGTGAGAGGTCACAATGTTAGGAGACAGCCAAGCCAAGATGACTCAAATTGTGTTTATCACAATAAAAATATCAAAACACAGAAAAAATTGCAATAGAACTCAAAATGTTTGCTCAAATTATTGTTGCACAAACCTCCTCATCATATGCAGCCCATATATAGCAATGGATCCAATAACAATTCCTGATTGAAATGCTGGATGGAATTATTTCTTCTATCCATAGAAAATCATCAATTGTTGTGTTAACAAAAGATTAAGGCAAATAAGAAACAACATAATATACTCAACAACCTTAAAGGAATAACTCAAGAAACATCAATAACATAGCATCCAAAAAATATGGTTATAAAACAGTAAAGATTATTCCCATACAATATAATGATCAAGAGCAATCAGAACGTCAGTTTGGTTTTATTGGTGCATTGTGCTGAAAAAGTATGCTCCTCAACTATAATGACCAGGTTTTATAAACTTACAATATATCCCGTGTAATCTTACAAGTGGAGTCTGAGAGGGTAGCATTTGAAAAATTATCTAAAAAAAATAATCCTAACATTTCAACCCAGCTATATACTACAAGAAAATAGCCTCTAAGGAAGGGAAATGTGGTCCCTGAAAGTCCAAATCTAGTCCTAAATGCGCTTTTGAGACCTGAAAAATCTGGTCGCCACTCGTCCTAATAGCCTCAGTCGCTATTGGGTAATAACGACAGGTTCAAAAAATATGGTCGCTAAATGATTTTGGGACGAGAAAAAATATGGTCGCTAAATCCTTTTAGAGACTACATTTCTGGTCTCAAATAGACCATATATTTCTTAGGAAAATATTTTATCAGGTCGTTAAAACTCTTTAGCGACCATAACACCTGGTCCTAGAAATAGCTTTAGCGACTATCAAAGGCCTAGTCCTAGAATAGCTTTAGAGACGCTCCTATGCAATAGCTCGCAAACCACATAGGAGAGGTAACCCGCACTAGGCAAGCCTGGTGCGACGAGCTCGACCCAGAAGGCAAATCCCTTGCTTTCGCTGGCAAGGGGTTTCGAACTTGAGACCTCCAACATGGAAGTCCCAAGCTCAAACCACTGGGCCACCCCGAAGGGTAGACGAACAACAATTCTAGTCCAAGATTATGCATTAGAGACGAGCAACATATTTAGTCCTAGATTGACCTTTAGAGACGAGCATTTATTCAAGTCTCTAATTTACCACCAATGGTCCCACAAAAATTAATATCACAAGAATAAGAATTTATCAAGAAATATCATATTGCTATTAAATATCTCCACACAAAAAAAAAGATATGTATAGAGAATAGACAGAGACGGGAAAATAGATAAAGAATGTATGATCCCATAATTTTAGTTTCAATGCTTGCTTAATAAAAGAACATAGCCAACATCATGAGATAAACTATCGTATCAAAATTTTCACAACATTCGTAGCAAACTAATAATGAGCTCTTACATCTTCCTCTAAACTTTTATCTTGACTGAAGAATGAACAAAAGCTGGGCATAAATTTTAAGTTTCAATGTTCATCAAGTGTTATCAGAAACATCAACAAAAGCTGCAAGAAAATAGAAAAATTCCATTAGAAATGAATTGAAAAGAAAATAGGAAAAGCTGCAAGAAGAGCTGGAATAAACAAAAACAGGGTAAACATAAATGGAATGAATAAAAACAGGCTAAAATCTGTTGTGTGAAAACCTCTTCTAAAACTAATTGCCGAAGCATTCACAATGATTCAAATGAGAACAAATTATGCTTTTATACATTCCACAACTTCATTTAGCAATAGAAGTTAAGGTTTCATTAATTACAGTAGAAGAAAAAACCATTTATGATGTTTGACATTTCATTTTTCCCTTGTAAAAGAGCAAGAACTACAAAGTTGAACTTTATGGTAATACAACTGGACATTCTAAAGCATCTAATCTTATATAGCTCTGTTCCTAAATCTATCTTTGTCTGCTTCATTACTAGATTACTTAACAAACCATAAGCAGTAAAGCCACACTTTGTGGAGAAAATAAAAAATCGAGGAAAAGTTGTGTCGTTAATGTTGAAAAACTGTTAAAATGGAGTGGTGCAGCTATCGTTAGTTAAAAACTAAATGTATTATGTTCCAAATGTGCATTTTTACTTTTTTTCAAAGGTGATGCATCAGTCTCTCGCCTCATTTCTTTATGTCGCCTCACCTCGTCTCGTTGCGTCACCTCATAAGAAATTACAGTAGTAAGTAATGGAGCTACTAGTTGAGAATCTAGTGTTCTTTGATGGAAACAATGCAACAATAGAAACTATTGACTATGTAACGACCCGGAAAATGATAGAGTGAAACTAGAGCCTCATATGTGAGTTTGGAGTCGAGAACTTAATAAAATGATTATATTTGAATTTGACCCAAAAAGTTCTTAAAAATGTGCTTCGGAAGTTACCGGAAACTTGTTTAGCTGTATATAAAAAAATTTGTTTCGTTTTTCGAAAATCCGACTTTATATTCTTGTTTAGGGGGTCAAATTGAGTGGGAAATGGGTCTAACCCAAATTTTAGAGCAACCGTATCAAAATCCGAAATTTCCAAGTGAAGCCTTTTTCGAGGGTCTACTTTGGAGGGTCATATCTCCTAGCACACAAATTATT